GAAATACTAATAAATAATAATAAACTCAATTAGTATCTCAACCTTGAATTTAACTTATAAATGATTTTGAGTCACTGCCTTTGAATATAAAAGAAACTAAAAATAAGCATTTCATTCGGTGGGTAAATATTATCGTTTTAGGCCACAATATGTAAATATTACCCTGATTTATAGTTATTAATTATAAACCAATTTAACTACACCAGTTACATGTATTTTGTATATGACTAAAATAATTAGTTCTTTAACTCTACCAGTCATTTGTGATTCAAAAACATGTTAAGCTTTTAGCACCATATTGGCGTATTTAAGATTTCTTTTTGGGAAGTGAAGGCCAAAAAAAAAACAGTGCGGCCGTGGAAAGCTGTTACTACGTCCTGGGTAACTGTGTCTGTCCCCTTTTATTTTGCATCTTACATTTACGAGAGGACCCAAAAATGCCTTTGGTTTGTTTATTTTTTTTTCTGTTCAATAAACGGATTCCGATGGCAATTATTCAAAAAGTACCATAAAAAAATGTTCATGTTTAAAAAAAGATGTTAAATTATTTAAATTATTATGTATTTCCAAGCTCTGTGTATTAAGATTAACAATATATTACGCCTTTTTAATCATAATATGGCAATTGGCACATTTTTGTGACTTTTGACAAACAAAATTAAAATTGTTTAACACTCATAAAAAAGTTTATGCGGCTTTACGATAAAATTTAAAATATAATCTATGGGGAACCTTGTAATAAGTTTTCAAAGCTTTTTGATGAAAAAAAAACTTTAAAACTTTAAGAATTCATCGAAAAAAAACATTTAAAAGTTGACAATTTCAAATGTTTAGATCAAAGAAAGGCAAAATATTTAAAAAATGATATCATGTAGAAAAAGTTAAATAATAAATATTTAGTGAAAGTGACAAGTACCTACGGTTATTTGTTAATGAATTCCAAAATCAATTAGTTAAAACTTGATGTTGCAAAATATTTCCGTTTTTCAGTTTTTCCAATCAATTCCATTGCTCTACTCAGATCTAAACAGTTGAATGATTCTATAACGCACTCAAATTACCCCTTGTAAATACTCCAATGTAAGCACCACTTAATATCTCCACCGATACACGTTGACAATTAAATAATCAATGAGATTACATTGTACATAAACCTGTGTAGTTATGTGTGCACTGTAGGAACATAAGGTTACGTCTCAACTAGTGTCGATTTGTTTACATCAACTCAGAAATAAAAACTTGGTGTATTTGGATAAAATGAGTGTTTATTTAACATAATATGTTTGATACAAAATTACAATAGTCGCCTATAATAAAAAAGTGAGTGGTGTGACGACCAAATTCTTAAGCCGATAGCTAAGACTGTGAGTGGTGATACGACCTGCCTCCAAGTGTCATACATATCCATAATAACCATCTGACCTTTTCTAACCTATACTGGCTATACTATAATCGTCTAACAAGCTCTTGCCATTGTCTCCCTTATACATGCCCTCATCCTCAAGAGTGGTGGTCGTGGTGGTAGCGATTTTCCGCTACGAGACGGAATTTGGATTTCGTAACATAATTTAGTATTCTAGTGGATTCGCATCCTTTCTCGTGGATATTGATGACTTTTCCGAGAACTGAAACGAGAGGTGTGACAACACAACCTTTATAGGTTGATTATTTTACTGTGTTCACTATGCTCTTGCAATGATCTCAGAATGCTTTTTCACGGTAATTTCCTAAGAATTATGTCACTACACTTTTCGAAACGTATACTATTTTATACATATTTCATGGAGTAAGTAACAATATTGGTCCACCTAAATATATCATTATCACTGACATAACTCACGACTCACCTATAGCTAATAATATATACGTTTTTGATACAACTGATATAATATACATTTATAAACCATAAGATTATGGCTTGGGGTGGCGCTCTGAGTGTACGCACTAGCCAGCGTTGCTACCTTCCGAATGGGTGACCACCCGGAATTTTTAGCAACAAAATCATTGCCACACATACAAATACGAGTTCAAAACGAACTGTGCCCCTATACAAACAGCTAATGCCTAATGGCCATAGTTTCCGGGCTTTAGATCAATACAAAAAAAAATAATCATAATATATGATTTCATGTTGAGCGTGGGTCAGAGAGAGAGAAAGAGAGAGAGAGAGAGAGAGAAAATGAGCAAACGTCCTCTTCATATCGATTGCTAAAATTAAATTTTTCAAAAATAGTATACCATCTTTATTATCCAATAATGTTAATGATCTACAAATTAAAATGTTAAATTGGTATAAAATAATTGTATTTTCCGCCGAAGCAGTCAACTATTTATTTTACTTATTATAATTATCTAACTCATCTGCTTTTAAACACCAAATAATGATATTTTATATTATTATACATGTTATATAATAATTCATTACTTGTAGCTTAAAAGTAATATTTATTTTAGGTACAAATTTGATCTACTAAACAGTAAATGATAATAAAAGTATACATTTATGTGCAACCGTTGAGGCCATAAAATGTATTATGTAAGTACATAGGTATTAGGTGCTCATTTTATAGGTAGTTGAACTGTATTTATACTGAATTTAAGTAGTAACGAAATAAAATAATATGACTAAATGTTACTCGTATAAAATATATTACATGGATGATAGAGAATAGTAAAATAATGCTGAATTTGCTATATTAAATTATTTAATTTTAATCAAATAAACCGATATCTTTTAGTCTATATTATCTGAGAATAATATATTATTATTACTATTGTACTATAACTATTTTTATTTATTTAACTGTAACTAATAATAGTTAATATCCTCTAAAATTGCATAATAAAACCTTGTTAATATTTTATTATTTATTATTATAAAATCTATTTAAATAGGTAACAAACAATTTTATCTATAGTTAACATATTTATGTTTGTAAGTATTAGGCACAGAGGTTAATTTGTCCATCAGATAATATTTCCAATGTTATTCAATATTATTAAACTATTAGAAGAAGATCTCAATTATTGAAAAAAATGTTCACTTGCTGGTAAAATATTGAACATTTTAATAAAGAACAATATTTTACGTCAACATTTCAATACACCTAGATATTATAACCATATAATTCGTATTTGAATTATCCACCAAATCAACAAATGGAGGTACCTACTCTGCAATGGACTGTACAAAGAAAGACGCGGAATCAAAGAAATAAAAATGCATCAAGTCAAACTCAACATTGCCTTAAACATGACGACTGAAAATCGTTACAAGAAAAACAATCTTTTGCCAAATTCAATAGGTATAGGTATGTAAGTACCCAATATTATATTTCAATTTGTAGGCGTATCGTCTAGGGCTTGTGTGAAGTCTTTGTAGACGACCTTTTCGCGTTAATATAACGATATATAATATATAATATTATAAGACCATAAAAACCCGTATTATAATCGGCTGTATATTTTTGTCGCGGTAAATCAACAACACGCAATACGGACGGTTTTTAATTGTTGTCCAATATTGCAGATAAATATTGTATTATATAATATCGCGTACTACGATCAATTAATAACCTAGTTACGACGGTCGACGTCGACCCATACTGCGGTGCACGGACGACTATATTGATGAGGACATGAAACACGAGGTTCGTCTGGCCGACTACGCATGACGGGCCGGTACATAAAAAGACATTTGACGGTGCAGAGGTAACGGGTTGACGTCCGCGGCGACGGCGTCCGTTTCGGCGAGACGGGTCGGCGGTGCCAAAAAAAAAAAAAAAAAAATGAAAAAAAATGTTAACAAACGCTCCGCCGCCGACGTCTGGCGAGCGCGCCAAATCGGGGGGGTGCCTGTAGCTTGAACGGTGACGACTGCTGCGGCGGTGGCGGGAAAAACAATGACGCAATAAACGCGGTCTCTTGCGCGTGACGTCGCGACGGCGGCGGAGCGGGTCACCACTCGCATTATATAATGTTATAATATATACTACCTACCAGCGCGAATGTGTTCGAAAAACGTTCGATTCCGTTTCGTTCGTCGCGATTCCGATTTATACGAACGAATTTTATCGGCAGGTACGTCTAAATAGTGCATGATATAAAATGGTTTGACACGGTCGCAGTATAAAGTATATTATCGATACGATTGTATGATATATTCTTGTATTAAGTCGTCGACGGGAGAGCGCTGTGACAATAATATATAATTCTAAGTACGCGAACGGAGACCAATCGTGTGACGAACGACTATTTTTCATCCGTAAATGGTATATACACCTATTCGGGAAAACGGTCCGCGTGACCCCGCAGTTTCTCTCGTTCGTTATCGAACGCGTACAGGGTGGATTATTTTAGCTTGAATCGGACAGCGTGTCACTATATAAATATTTAATGACCGTTAATATATTATTGTGTAGTGACTACGGTTCGTTTAAAATTGTTGTCCTTATTTTCCGAACGATTTAATATTTTCTTCTGTCAGAGTGTCGTAATTTTTCATCCCGTCAGGGCTAACCGTCCCCGCTATAGCTCTCAGTACAGTGTCGACTTTCAATTTTCGATTCCTAAATTGTGTGAACCAAATAGTACGCAACTTTATGGTCTAAAATGCTGCAGTTTATTTTACAATTTATTGTCGAAACTACTCAAGAGTTTATTAGAATATTTGAATAGGTACTACAATATTATGCTGTAGGTATAATCGTCAAAATATACCGAGGTCCGAGAAGGATAATATCGTGGACGATTCACGTTCCCGAGACAGGATATTATATATGGGTATAGCAGAGATGCGATACGCGGCGCAACGTGGCGAGGAGCGAAAAACACACCCGTACGGCTCGAATAACCGGGGTGGCGGTATACACGGTTGAGATAATAACTACGACATATTGTTTTCAACCGCCGTTGTAACAGTGATCAAAATATCGAGTCCGCAAACAAATAAATAAATAAATAAATAAATCATCAACAGAATATACACGACGGCCACTTACCAACATCTTGGCTGCGTTCGGGTTCCGGCGGGACGGTCACGAAGATAATAATATATCGGCAATAATAATATATTATAATATTATATTTCGTGCGATGTCGTTATCGCGGCGGCGCTGCCCTCGGGGTTGATCGGAGGAATAAAGCACGTGCGACGAGACCGCGGCGGCGACGTGCGCGCGTGCACGACTGCAGTCGTCGGCGTGAACTGTAAAGGCTGCGGGCGGGTGCGCGACTGCCACTGAAAACGGCGGCGGCGGCGGCAGTAAGACACAACACGGTCTGATCGGGACGCGTTTCGCGGGGGCTGCTGTTGTTCCGCAAGAGCCGCGGGGTCGCCGTGTGCCGTGGACGTGCGCCAAAGACGCGGCAGACAACTACACTGACGGCGCGCCGGAGAATTCGCGTGTGCCTCGGCGGCGGTCCGTGCACACACGTATATATATATTTTAGCGTGCGGATATCGCGTGCGTTTATATTATCGTCATCCGCCGCGCAATACATAACATCGTATACATGAATGGTCCACATTATATATCGCTATGGTGTGACGTCGCCGCCCACCCGCCGACGCTGATCTGGTGGCGGTCGGCCGCGCCGCGGTGGAGCGGGCGACGGTCGCCGTAAGCGAACGATACTACTATATTACTGTTGTCTTTCGTTTGCGATTTTTTTTGCAATTTTTTTCTCCCTCCCCCCTCGTTTCCGTTTCGCGCACACGTCGCAGTGTCTCCCTCTGCGCTCGAATATTTCGTATACATATTATTACAGTATTGCGGAGACCTCGGCATCGCCCGTTCCGTTCGGTGGTTTTTTACATTTTAGTCTTTACACCGCCTCGCCGCAGCTGCTGTCACTATTGCTGCTGGCGGCGTCTGGCGGCCGTCCGCCGTAACCGCCGCTCCGCCCATAGCGTTTACCTATAGGTCTATTCAGTTATTGTTGTATACCTGTACGGCGATTTTATTATGTTATCGTCGGCCTATTATACACGGTATACACAATAGAATAAATGCCACTACTGCGGCGGCTTCCGGGTGTCGATGTCTTCCCGTCGCCGGTGACGGTTTGACGGATCGCTCGTGCAGAACGTCGTTGAAATCGTCACAGAATAAAAATTATACGGAATTTCTGTACCGCGCAGTAGGACGTACGCGTGCGCGAGAGCGTAAGTTCGGCGCGCCGCCGGTGTACAGACGACCGCGCGAGTCGTCCAAGTCACGAGCTTCCGCGCGACGCCACCCGGTCACCGAGCGCGCGTCATCGTTGCAGGTTTCGGTTTCCGGGCTTCCGGTGACGGGCGGCAGTCCAGAGACTACGGGTTAAAATTAGACCGAATAGACCGATGTACGTAATGAAGTTTGGCATTTCTGTAGGCTCGTCGCTAAATCGCACCCCGGTGACTATAATATATAATATATTATAATAATGACACTAGTCTTTAAATTATGCATTTTTTTTCATGAAATCGCATTTCGAAGTTGTTTTTAATAAATGTTTATGTTTGAAATACGAAATCAACCAACATTGTAAAAAAAATATCTATCAACATTGAACCTGATGATTTTTTTGATTTTTTTTTACTTGTAATCAACATAATTATAGCTTAAAAAGCATCACTTAAAAAAGAAAAATTGAGTTATATCAGCTTGTAAATGTATTACGATTAGTTTTGAAAATTACAAAACATGTGTGACTATTTAAAATTAAGCTAAAAAACGTTCACCTGTCATATTTAAACTAGCAATAAAGAAATGTATTTACTATTATTTAAAAATGTGCCATAGTGAGTATTTTTTGTCTTAGTTAATTTTTATTTTTTTATAAATACCTTTTTGGTGTGAACACGTTTATCAAATATAGTTTTTAAAAACCATATAGGACTATTGTCTATTTTCAGAATTTACAAGTAATATCAAGATTCAAGATGGATAAAAAAGTGACAGTATTTTTTTTTTTTTTTTGAAACTGCTAAAACAAAATATCTTGTATTATTGCAAACTAAAAAACGAAATTGCCTTATATTGTAATTAAATCTATTAGATATTGCATTGAAATACAAAATTCGTGGTGCAAAGCTACTGGGGGTGTCTGCAGGTTTTTGAATTTTTGTTATTGGTTTTTTTAAACACTGCTCTAGAATGTTTGTTGGTTTTGAGATGTAGCATCACAATATATCGTCTATCAGCAGTCATTACATACTTGCACTTCACATATCTTACAAAAAAGAACTTTGCGGTCGGCAGAAAAAATAGTGTCGTAAAATCAGACACGTCATTTTTATAACTGATTTCAAAGGCTTGATTTTGAAAGCTCTTTTGTGGACGAAATGGACAAGGCAAAGTATAACGAACCATTAAATTACATCTATTCCTGCAAAATTACAACGAAAATACGAAATCAGTACACAACATGATTGTCGATTAATGATTGAAGGACAAGTTGTTATCATAACGACATTTTATTAACATAAAAATGTTTGTATTTACAATTATTTAAACTAGTTTATACCTATATATACCTAAATTTGTAAACTGCTACGTTAGCTTAATTTTTATTCTAAAATGTACTATAAACTATACGAAAATTATGAAAAACCATAAAAATCATACTAATCTACAATAATTTGCATGAAAATAAAATAAAATTGTGAAACTTGCATTTTGGCAATAAAAAAAAATGTATGTGAATCAATATTCAGGTGAAACACATTTAAATTTAATGATTATAAGCATCTACATAAACGATGCGAATACGATAACTATACACAGTCTTACTTATATAAGGAATAGAAAACACTCCGCACTCCCTTATCACCACGAAAATAGAAAATATCATTTAATACTATAAGTATATACAGTCACTCTCAACAAAACCTTGGTCACTATACTCATTAATATCTAATGTAAAGGATCAATACAACAATATGGGGAACCGTTGTAGGTGGCCGGCAGCTGCTACCTATAAGACTCTAAGAGGAGTAACTTTATCTATAGGACACAGCTTTAAGTTTTTTTTATGTTAAATGATAGACCTAACCACCTGACCTGAACAATCAGAAATCACTCATGTATAGTAAATAATAATTCAAAAATAGTTCGTTATTAAATTATGGACTTATGTAGATTTTTGGCTTGTTTGTGTCTTCTATTATACGAGTGCCACGGAAACGTAATAATCGACTGTCTGCGCTTCACGTTGTTGATAAATCGTCCGGAGTATAGACTCCCACGCCACCCAAGTTGCCACGATAATAAGACTATAGTATCGTTTGTTACATAAAATGCGCACATCGGATTATCAGAATAAAGAGTAATAGTCATTATAATGCGGAAGTATTGTAACGGTATAGTATAATAAATATTGTTTATTTTTAAATTTTTGATATTATCTGGGTTAGAGATGCGATCAGACATCGCAAAAACCTAAAAAATATGTATATATATAATAGGTGGTAATCCTTCTTTACTAAAATGTATTTAATTATATTTCTCATAATATCTAATGAAACTATATTTCTGCATGACCTTCAATAATTTTATGACTTGTGACATTATTGTCTTTCGCATAACATTATGTTACATGTAGCAAAACAGATAGGTTCGTAAAAAGGTTGTATATAATTGTTAGAAATAAAGGCATTGTTCGTGTAAATAATTTGTATCAGACATTAGTACTTAATAGTTTATAGTATACATAAAGGTAAGGTGTCTAATTGTAACTGACCAATGCTACTCAATTGTGCAAGCAATTAATTACTAAAATATAATTGGATTTTTTCCCCACCCTTAAAAACTGAATTCTAAATTTTTATTTGAAAAATTTGTATGCACCTATTCTATCCCGCATTCCTATTAAATATTTCATTTATTTTGTTTTATTTGAGATTAATTGTATTATTTTATGAGGCCACCGCTGTTTTTTTTTACAATTGCTAATAAGCAAAACTTAACATTTCACGTACACTTCATATTTTTTTGTAAACCAACATAATTATTCTGGCATCAAGCAATCTATTTTTTACGATCTAGATCTGATGCACGCATTGTAGTAATTCTATAATTATAATTAGATATTAATTATTAAATATATTTTAATAATTTAATATACCTATAAACCTAGTTAAATAGTTACCTACAATGGTAAAATTTAATTTAATAATAATAATATAATAATACGAATTACGAATTATTGCAGTCATGTATAATTGTGTGAATTGATCTTCTAAATTTCGTGTCTAATTAAAGGGAATACTGAATTGTGATTTCTATATTTTAATTTCACTATAAAGTATAAATTATATACAGGGTGATTCACGAAGCATGCTCACCCCCATTTTTACCTTTTTTTATGAATTTATTCAAATTCTGGTTTTTGCATTTTTAAATGTACTCAATGACCATATTTTCAAATTCTTGAATTGTTTTGTACTACTTAAGGAGTATCTTGTGGTGGCGCAAACTTCTGTTTTTCAAATGAGAACACCCCCCCCCCCAACACCACCACTTTTTTATTGTAAATTAATGGGTGGATAATTTTTCGAACATTTTGATGTACCACGTTCAAAATTTGAATAAGTATCTTAGTTATTCAAATGTTTGTATTAAGTATAATAGTCCTTTAAAGTGGTTTTAAAAAAATATAAAATATAAATGAAATTGGATCTAGTATTTATTACCTATACTTGGGCCATTTTTACAAATCATTTATATCGATAGATAATGACTACAATTTTCAAATAACTATTGCCCCCATATCTTATGAACTCATTTCAATAGATCTTTTGGCTTTTATCCGTAGAACACAAGGTTAAATAACTCGAAAACTACTAGTACTAATTTTGATTTTGATAAGTCAAAAATGTCAGAAAAATGATCTACTATTCTATACTAACGTTCGTTTGAAAAACAGAATTTTGTATCTCCACGGGACACTCCTTAAGTAGTACAAAAATCTCCAGAATTTTAAAATATGGTCTTAAAGTACTTACCTATATTTAAAAATTAAAAAAATCAGATTTTGAATGACTGCATTATTGAAGAAAAAAAAGGGGTGAACATGCTTGGTGAATCACCTTGTATATAGTTGACTACAGTAAATACTGATCTACATTCTACACGCAATACTAATTTCATCAATAATAGTAAGCATTTTCTTAGTATTTTATAACCTTAGTGACATATGAGTCATTAAGCATTAGTGAATATATTTTGTATTCATATTCGTATATAAACAAGAA